TTTGCAACCATACTCTTTCAATTTTCACATGATGGATTAAACAGTGCTCCGTGAGATGTTCAATGCTTGGGATTTTTTTTTTAATAACCTAACCCTGCATTAAAACTTCCTCACAACTTTATCCCTGACCTGTCTGGTGTGTTCCTTGGCCTTCATGATGCTGTTTGTTCACTAATGTTCTCTAACAAACCTCTGAGGGCTTCACAGAACAGCTGGATTTATACTGAGATCACATGACACACAGGGGGACTCTATTTACTAATAAGGTGACTTCTGAAGGCAATTGGTTCCACAAGATTTTAGTTAGGGGTATCAGAGTAAAGAGGGCTGGATACAAATGCACACCACACTTTTCAGATATTTATTTGTAAAAAAATTTTGAAAACCCTTTAATCATTTTCCTTCCACTTCACAATTATGTGCCAATTAGTCTATTACATAAAATCCCAATAAAATACATTTATGTTTTTGGTTGTAACATGATAAAATGTTGAAAATTGCAAAGAATATGAATACTTCTTCAAGGCACTGTATATAAGGCTTCCATTCACATCTGTGCAAGTATGACGGCAGGCATGTGTATTTGTGTGTCGCATTTAGATCAGTCCATTAATTTTAATAGGCCCCTTCGCTCTACATGCAAAAATTGCACAAGAAAAGTACAAGCACCTTTTTTTTTTTTAAATTGTGGTGCACCTAAACACATGGTACAGTAAGTTCCCTACTTGTGAACCTTCACGTGCAAACTTTCAAAGATGCAAACATGCATTCGCATGTCAAATCACCAAAGTAGCTCACGTGTCTGCCGGACATTGTCGGTGTAGAGTAGTACAGTGCTGATTTCAAGCCCAGGATGTCTGGAATCAAGTATAACAGAAGCAGTCTTGTCTGATCACTCCATGCCAGCCCCGGTATGTCGGCGGTTGTACTGCACTTCTGTACATTTCAGGTACTGTAAGATTAAACATCTTTTCTTTACAGTATTTTTTGTTTGTTTTTTATGCTTTATTTGTGTGTGAAAAAGTATTATAAACCTCACTTTGTTGGACTTACGAACAAATTGGACTTACGTACACCCGAGTGGAACTTGTTTGTAAATAGGGGACTTACTGTATTTTGTTTTACTCGCACATTTGCGAGGTGCGTTGGGATGCCATTTGGAATTATTGACAGTGTTGCACACTTGAAAAATGAGATGCAGGCATTGTGGCATTGTGCCATCGCACAGATGTGAACCTAGCCTAAGAATGGAAGAACCATAACTATGTATGATGATGTCACAAAGCAACACCATTGAGGGCTCCCCTGTCTCACTAGTCTCCATCTCAAGTCTGTGCGAATCATCTAGTGACACGGTACTGCTGGCTTTCATTAGGATCATATAAACATTCCCAACCTGTGTTTGCAGTCATTTTATCCAAATGTGCTTGGATAGTTAGGTTCTTTATGTATGGTTCTGTTTACATTCACATGACAACATGTATGTTATCAGAACACCATCAACTGAAGCTAAATGTGCTTTATCCGTATGCACAGCAGTCATCCACCAATGTTCATTCTTCTGGAGCCACACAAGGGTTCTTCATTGATGTACAAAGCATGATGGAGGAACCCTGCATGGCCTTGAAATGTTGCAAAACTGTTGAATGAAGTCTATGGGAATAAAAAGGCATATGGAGCCGCAGTTGATGCTCTGCTGGTGATGTGCCCTCCCACCTCTGGTGAGATCTCACCCTCACTTTGGTGGGACAATGCTGGGCTCTATGGAGATACATCTTGTGTCACATATCAGTGACAGATTACACGTGGAGCATCATGGGACAGTTTTGAGAAGACAATGTCCAGACTAGATGCAGGTAATGTAGGTGGGTTGTTTGAGTGTTTTAGTGGCACAAAGTGAAGGTTGTACAGAATTGTAGACATTTTTGGGAAGGAGTGATCTAAGGAAAATAGATGACAACCATCAAATAAGTGTGATTTCTACTCCCATAGCTTGTGGCCTGATAGGTCTATATCTGTACAGATAGTCCAATGGAGAGATATCAGATAAGAGCTATGAGTGTGAAAAGTAAAATAAGTTAAGTTTAGTACACTTCAGTAAAATAAAATTCCACATTTTTGCAAACAAACTTTCCTTGAGGACCTGTTCACATCATTTGCATTGGGCCTTGTTCATTGCAGTGCCAGCGCAGAAGACAAGGTCATGTTCATGGTTTGCTATGAAGTAAGTTCATCGCACTGCATAGTGGTGGTGTGCTCTGAAAAAAAGGTACTTTTTTTTCAAAACAGCATGTTTCCACACAAACCACCTCATCAGAACAGCGCTACTACTATGTGTAGCACACCCTTGGGTGATGCTTGGCTAGATATATAGGTTCAGCTCCCACCTGAATCTGGTGACACCTCCGATTATACCAGAACACTTCGACACTCTGAGAATATTTTTTATGGGTTTTATTGAAGAAGACAAACCCTGAAAAAGAACTAGCTGATTGAACACAGGTAATGTACACAAGTACAGATACCACTTTGCATAACACAGTTAGTAAGAAGTCACAATTCACTCTCCAAAGTCTCCAAAAACTGACTAGTATCACACTGACTAGAGTGACATATGAGAGTGACATTGACACATGAAACAATAACTGTTAATGAATTTAGCAGCTTATTGACATTTGCTACAGCAGTACTATCTAGAGCAGAAATGTCCCACCTAACCACTGGCCATGGGATGAAACTTACAGTCTCTCAACGTTGGGGCCCTTTAATCAATGGAAGAGCGCTCACTCTCTGCATTGGAGAGTATTTGTAATCCAGGGGTAGCAGGATAGCACAGTCTCCTTTAAGCAGAATCTTCCAGTGAACATTGCAATAGAAGAAAACAACACTTCAACAAAGTCTTTACTATATAGGTGAAATCCTGATATACTGACACTTGCTCAGTATATTCAGATTTAAAGCAACCAGCACATCTCTACATATGTATATACTATACCTGGCTGATGTTCCTGGAAGCTGGAAATCACTGAAGTAGACACGACTATTACACCTCTACTACACCTCTACTACACCTCTACTCCAGTGACCTCCACTAGCTTCTGGGTTCATGCTGAGTGGCTGCCCTAAGGCACTGTGAACACAGGGGGTTGGCCCCTCAGCACTGATGCCATTTAGAGAATGCTTTGCATTTTCAGCATGAATGCAAAGTGTTCTCTGATTGGTGAGGGCTCCCCCCCCCCCCCCCCACTACTCTCCACCTCATCTAATCAGCGTATGTTGTCATTGACTCCAAAAATGCAAAGCATCTCTGAATGGCACCCAGCTCCCAATGGCATCAGCCAGGTAAGGTTCTGTATATTCATAGTTACATTGGTCAAAGCTGGACCAGTATAGCTATAAACTGCTGTATATACATCTTACAGGCAGACTCCTGCTTGCAATGTGGTCTGCATTGAAAGGGAGGCCAGAGAAGACATTGGGGGGGTCTTTTTAGACCCTGCATGTCTCAATAAAGAGAACCTATCACCAAAAAATCATCACATAGGGGATTTTGTATCCCCTATGTGATTCCAAAAAATAAAGTAACACCCCCATGCACATAACATTCCCCGTTCAAAAAAAAAAACAAAACAATTTGAGCCCCACACATAAATGCACACGTTGGGGCGTCTGCACATGAAAACATCAATTGCAATACACATGTTACATATCGCTGTGCACACCGGAGTGAGAGCAATAATTCTAGCAGGAGACCTTCTCCATAATTCTAAGCTGATGACCTGTAGGGACTTTTGAAGCGTCGTCTATAGAAAATATAGGCTACTGAAGTTTGACACCATTTCATAGGCGCACACAAATTTAAGGTTTTCTGAGTATCTATTTACTCGGCACAACCTCATCTTTTATATTTTTCAAACAATTTGAGTAATTTATTGCATTTGTGTGCCTTAAAATTCACTTTAGCATAACTTTTACTGAAATTTTAATAATATTGTGTACCATAAAAAAGAGAAACTACCACTTTGTTTATTCTCTAGGGGTGTCTGCTTTCAGAAAATATATATTGTTTTGGGGGTTTTGTGTAATCTTCAGGCATAAATTGATTTTTTATATACGTGTGCAAAAATTGCAAAAAACAGCTCTGGCAGCAAAAGGGTTTAAGTCACATCTAATTTTTTAAAGATGTTTGTGATCTGTCCACTCGGTTGATTTTCAGTTTTATAAAAATATACATTATGAAGGACTTCATTTATTTATTATTTTATGCAGTAGCAGTTTGTGATAAGTTCCCATGGGGCAGAAAATGACTTGTAATTTCCCTGTACAATTCTAATCAGGAATTAAAAAAAAAAAAAACACATATATATATATATATTTACTAAGGGGTGTTTAGCAAAAATTATAAAATCTAACGCTCATTCTAGAATTATATTTTTAAAGGATAAGTTCACCTTTCATAAATCATTTTAAAGAATAAGTTACACCAATATTCAGGGCATAACATGTAACATGTTATGATCAGACCGGCCCCCACTTTAACAGCTAGCGGGGGATCTTCTCCCCCCTCCACAAATGTCCCCCCTCCCCCCCGTGCTTGCTGTCAGATTTTAAAAAACGCGGCTCCCGCCCGTACGGCTTTGTCCCTCATTCACCGTCCTGTGAATTATTCCTTAGTGGCTGTCGGTTTGCAGTTCTCAATGAAGTATCATGGCGCCGTGTGCACTGTGGAAGTTCATTGAGTCTTCCTGTCAGTATATCTGCTTGTCCGTATATCCCGTATATTTCGTATGGGAGAGCAGATACACTGACAGTCTGCAGAAGACCTGCATGGTATCAGTGATCTGTTGGTCTCTGGTGCAATGCCATCCAGGCTCATGCACCCAAAAATTATAAATACACATTTTTTTACCTACAAAAAAATGTGCATTTATAATTTTTTGTCTGAAGGGGAACTTATCCTTTAACATATCTTGCATGATAACACAGTAAAGCTCTGACTTACATTGCGTTTGAGCTGTTGGAATATCCCAGAATCTTTGGTATGGACTTTCCAGTACAGACATTTCATCCTCGTTATACTTCCAAAGAGCATCATATAGCAGGTCTTTCTTCTTATGGTCCCAGGAGCTGATTATGTCAAAGAGTTCATCCATCTTGTCCCTAGATGAGGATTTGCTAATCAGATTCTGGAACTCTTCCTGTGTGATCAGCATCTTGTCCCTCAGATCAAATAGAACTGGATCGACAAACTTTATTTTGTGTATCAGAAATATCCAGTGTTTGACCAAAAAAACGCTCCTTTGCTGTAATGTTAAATATAAAAAAAAAAATAAGAACAAAAAAGTTTTGTCATGTTTCTCCCTTAACCCTTTGTTCACTGTTTTGGAGAGGAGAACCTCCCTCTTAGTATACAGACTACTTCATTGCACACAGAATTCATTTTCCTTGGGTGGCCTTAGGTGGGTTTTGTTCCTTTGATACCTTGTTCATCTATCCAGGACAACTGTAGAAATATTTCCGCACTTGCTATCCAGACTCTGCAACCCAACCACTACTGTAACAATAATATATCTCGTCAATCGATACACAAGCCGACCTCAATGCTCTGTGTAATTGGGAACTATGTGGCCAATGGGGTTCAATGTTGATAAATGTAAGGTTCTGCACTTGGGGGCTAAGAATATGCATCATACATACTAGGGGGGTACAACTGAGGGGTCAATGGCGGAGAAAGATCTGGGGGGGTCAATGGTGGGAAAGATCTGGGGGGGTCAATGGTGGAGAAAGATCTGGGGGGGTCAATGAGGAGAAGGATCTGGGGGACTGAATGGTGGAAAAAGATCTGGGGGGGTCAATGGTGGAGAAGGATCTAGGGGGGTAAATGGTGGAGAAGGATCTGGGGGTTTTGGTAGATCACAAGCTTAATAATGGCAGCAATGCCAAGCTGCAGGTTCTAAAGTGAGCAAAATCCTCTCTTGTATTAGGAAAGGTAGAGACTCCAGAGAGAGAGATAATCACCCCCCTCCAAATCATTAGTAATATCTCATCTGGAATATGCAGTTCAGTTTTGGGCTCCAATTCACAATAAAAACATTGGGGAACTGGAGAAAGTACAGAGAAGGGCAACCAAACTGATACGAGGCATGGAGGAGATCAGCTATGAGGAAAGATTAGAGGAACTGAATTTATTTTCTTGAAAAGAGGAGATTAAAGGGGGATATGATCTCCATGTATAATACATAAGGGGGGATATGACCTCCATGTATAATACATAAGGGGGGATATGATCACTGTGTATAATACATAAGGGGGGATATGATCTCCATGTATAATACATAAGGGGGGGATATGACCTCCATGTATAATACATAAGGGGGGATATGATCAACATGTATAATACATAAGGGGGATATGATCTCCATATATAATACATAAGGGGGGGGATATGATCTCCATGTATAATACATAAGGGGGGATATGATCTCCATGTATAATACATAAGGGGGGATATGATCTCCATGTATAATACATAAGGGGGGATATGATCTCCATGTATAATACATGAGGGGGGATATGATTTCCATGTATAATACATAAGGGGGATATGATCTCCATGTATAATACATAAGAGGGGATATGATCTCCATGTATAATACATAAGGGGGATATGATCTCCATGTATAATACATAAGGGGGAATATGCTCTCCATGTATAATATATAAGGGGGGATATGATCTCCATGTATAATACATAAGGGGGGATATGATCTCCATGTATAATATATAAGGGGGGATATGATCTCCATGTATAATACATAAGGGGGATATGATCTCCATGTATAATACATAAGGGGGGATATGATCTCCATGTATAATACATAAGAGGGGATATGATCTCCATGTATAATATATAAGGGGGGGATATGATCTCCATGTATAATACATAAGGGGGATATGATCACCATGTATAATACATAAGGGGGTATGATCTCCATGTATAATACATAAGGGGGGATATGATCTCCATGTATAATACATAAGGGGGGATATGATCACCATTTATAATACATAAGGGGGGATATGATATCCATGTATAATACATAAGGGGGATATGATCTCCATGTATAATACATAAGGGGGGATATGATCTCCATGTATAATACATAAGGGGGAGGATATGATCTCCATGTATAATACATAAGGGGGATATGATCTCCATGTATAATACATAAGGGGGATATGATCTCCATGTATAATACATAAGGGGGAATGTGATCTCCATGTATAATACATAAGGGGGGGATATGATCACCATGTATAATACATAAGGGAGGGATATGATCTCCATGTATAATACATAAGGGGGGGATATGATCACCATGTATAATACATAAGGGAGGGATATGATCTCCATGTATAATACATAAGGGGGGGATATGATCACCATGTATAATACATAAGGGGGATATGATCCCCATGTATAATACATAAGGGGGGATATGATCACCATGTATAATACATAAGGGGGATATGATCACCATGTATAATACATAAGGGGGGATATGATCTCCATGTATAATACATAAGGTGGGATATGATCTCCATCTATAATACATAAGGGGGGATATGATCTCCATGTATAATACATAAGGGGGGATATGATCGCCATGTATAATACATAAGGGGGGATATGATCTCCATCTATAATACATAAGGGGGATATGATCTCCATGTATAATACTTAAGGGGGGATATGATCTCCATGTATAACACATAAGGGGGGATATGATCTCCATGTATAATACATAAGGGGGGATATGATCTCCATGTATAATACATAAGGGGGAATATGATCTCCATGTATACTACATAAGAGGGGGGATATGATCGCCATGTATAATACATAAGGGGGGATATGATCACCATGTATAATACATAAGGGGGGATATGATCTCCATGTATAATACATAAGGGGGGATATGATCTCCATGTATAATACATAAGGGGGGATATGATCTCCATGTATAATACATAAGGGGGGATATGATCTCCATGTATAATACATAAGGGGGATATGATCTCCATGTATAAAATTCTCTCTCTACTTTTTGATTACGCTTTCCACAAGAATATCACAGATCCAAGAAGACCCTCCATAAGTTAGAAAGTACGCTGCTCCTGACCTTCTCTACACCTTTCTGATTAGACATCCCTCACAGAACTTACACTGTCCAACATGACTGCTCATTAGATACAGACTACTCTACCCTGGACCTTCTCTCTACCTTTCTCATTACCCTTACTACTGGGACATCACACTCTCCAAATTGACTCTCCAAAATAAATAAATAATCTGCTCCCGAGCATCTCTCTTCCTTTCTCATTACACCTACCAATGGGATATCACAAGGTCAACATGACCCCCAATAAGGTAGAAAATACTCTGCCCCTGACCTTCTCTCTACCCCTATTACACCCATCATAGGACATCACACCTTCCAACATGACTCACTAGAAAAAAGAAATCACTGCCCTGACCTTCTCTACCTGTTATGGGTAATCACCCAACAAACCTATGTCAACCTATATGTGATAGACTAGGCCCAGGATATTGTATTCATAAAGGTAGAAAACAGAAACATTTCCTACCTTACACAGGGGCTCATATTAGAGGATCTGATGGCCCTAGAACCTCATAGTTTGAACAGTAGATCAGTTTTGGTGCTTTATCAGAATATTTCCACCAGTTTTTTGGACTTACCAAGTTGTGAAAATGGTGGAACCTTGATCTTTACTTCAGGTTTTGAAGCCAAAGCTATGGTAAGAGATAATAATAAATAACTAAAACATGAAAGTATATACAGTATAATGTCCCATGTACAATAATGGCGTGAGATAAAAAGCAATACTAGAATGGGCTTTATGGAAAAATAGATCTACAACAGATCAGATTCTCTTGTTACGCATGATCCCTAGAAAAGGTTTTAAAAATAAGAGGAATGACTCAACCTGTTTATTTATTATAAGTAGATCTATGATCATGTATGATGGGAGGTGTTATAAAAACATTACACTGGCGGTAGGAATCCTGAGATATCCAGATTCCATCATGTAGTAAATGGACTAACATACAGTGCCTTGAAAAAGTATTCATACCCCTTGAAATTTTCCATATTTTTGTCATGTTACAATGTATTTTATTGAGACTGGATGTGATAGACCGACACAAAGTGGCACATAAATTGTGAAGTGGAAGGAAAATGAGAAATGGTTTCCAACATTTGTGACCAATAAATCTGTGAAAAGTGTGGTGGCATTTGTATTCGGCCCCCCGGAGTCAATACTTTGTAGGACCCCCTTTGGCTGCAATTCCAGCTGCAAGTCTTTTTGGGGACATCTCCCAGCTTTGCACATCTAGAGAGGCAAATTTCTGCCCATTCTTCTTTGCAGAATCCCTCAAGCTCTGTCAGATTGGATGGAGAGTGTCAGGGAACAGCAATTTTCAAGTCTTGCCATAGATTTTCCATAGGATTTGGGTCTGGACTGTGACTGAGCCATTCTAACACATGAAGATGCTTTGATCTAAACCATTCCATAGGAGCTCTGGCTGGATGTTTCGGGTCATTGTCCTGCTGGAAGGTGAACCTCTGCCCCCGGTCTCAAGTCTTTTGCAGTCTCTTAACAAGTTTTCTTCTAAGATTGCCCTGTATTTGGCTCCATCCATCTTCCCATCAACTCTGACCAGCTTCCCTGTCCCTGCTGAAGAAAAGCATCCCCACCACATGATGCTGCCACCACCATGTTTCACAGTGGGGATGGTGTGTTCAGGGTGATGTGCAGTGTCAGTTTTCCACCACACATAGCATTTTGTTTTTAGCCCAAAAAGTTCAATTTTGGTCTCATCTGACCAGAGCACCTTCTTCCACATGTTTGCTGTGTCCCCCACATGGCTTCTCACAAACTGAAAACGGGACTTCTTATGGCTTTCCTCTAACAATGGCTTTCTTCTTGTCACTCTTCCATAAAGACCAGATTTGTGGAGTGACAACTAATAGTTGTCCTGTGGACAGATTCTCCCACCTGAGCTGTGGATATCTGCAGCTCCTCCAGAATTCCCATGGGCCTCTTTGGCTGTTTCTCTGATGAATGCTCTCCTTGCCCAGCCTGTCAGTTTAGGTGGACGGCCATGTCTTAGAAGGTTTGCAGTTGTGCCCATACTCTTTTCATTTTCACATGATGGATTAAACAGTGCTCCGTGAGATGGTCAATGATTAAGATTTTTTTTTAATAAAATAACCCCGCTTTTAACTTCCTCACAACTTTATCCCTGACCTGTCTGGTGTGTTCCTTGGCCTTCATGATGCTGTTTGTTCACTAATGTTCTCTAACAAACATCTGAGGGCTTCACAGAACAGCTGAATTTATACTGAGATCACATGACACACAGGGGGACTATATTTACTAATTAGGTGACTTCTGAAGGCAATTGGTTCCACTAGATTTTAGTTTGGGGTATCAAAATAAAGAGGGCTGGATACAAATGCACACCACACTTTTCAGATATTTATTTGTAAAAAAATTTTGAAAACCCTTTATCATTTTCCTTCCACTTCACAGTGATGTGCCACTTTGTCTATTACATAAAATCCTAATAAAATACATTTATTGTTTTGGTTGTAACATGACAAAATGTGGAAAATTGCAAAGAATATGAATACTTCTTCAAGGCAATGTATATAAGGCTCCATTCACATGTGTGCAAGTATGACGGCAGGCATGTGTATTTGTGTGTCGCATTTAGATCAGTCCATTAATTTTAATAGGCCCCTTCGCTGTACATGCAAAAATTGCACAAGAAAAGTACAAGCACCTTTTTTTAAAAAAATTGTGGTGCACCTAAACACATGGTACAGTAAGTTCCCCCCACTTGTGAACCTTTCAAGGTACTGTATGATTAAACATCTTTTCCTTACAGTATATTTTGTTTGTTTTTATGCATTATTTGTGTGAAAAAGTATTATAAACCTCACTTTGTTGGACTTACGAACAAATTGGGCTTACGAACGTACGAGCGGAAATTGTTTGTAAGTAAGGAACTTACTGTATTTTGTTTTACGCGCACATTTGCAAGGTGCGTTGTGATGCCATTTGGAATAATTGACAGTGTTGAAAAATGGGATGCATGCATTGTGGCATCGCACAGATGTGAACCTAGCCTAAGAATGGCAGAACCATAACTATGTATGATGCTTAGAGATGAGCGAATCGAAGTAGGCGAAATGGAATTCGTTTCGAATAATAGAAAAATTTTGAATCCGAAAATTAGCATACTTCGGATGCGCGAATCGAAATTTTTCCTAAAATGGCGGTGACATGTGCGGCGAT